TACATACTTATGTATATACATATCTAATACGATTATCTATTAAACCAACACAAGCACATACTTAATTTCTGCCTTAGGTACTTGAAGGTTTAGTACCTAAGGCAGAAGGTTTTGTACCTAAGGCAGAAATTACTTTCAAACAACAGTGAAAGACAGCATCATAACAATATGTAATTAATCTAAGTAAAATATAATTTTTGTACAAAGACCATGAGTTTCAATATTAAACTGACTAGCATTGAAGAAATCTTGACTGAAAGGAATAAGATTAATTTTGTTTAAAGGAGTAAAGAAGTGATAAGTATAGGCGGAATAGGATATTACATACTCTCAGTAGTAAGTAAAATTTGTAGAAGTAGGGGGCCACCAGTGACAAACTCTAAACATATTTCTGACCTTTTACAAACTTTGTCATAAGGCCACGAGGGCAGCTTATGCGTATCCAGTATGTGATGATTCCTGCGGTATAAGATTAACTGGAGGGTTGAAAAATACGAATATGCCAGAATAACTGTACATAGGCGCATCTATAGTATGGTTAAATAAAAAGTCGGTAACAATAATAAAGTTAATAATAGTTTCAAATTCAAATAGCAGGCGCAGATATAATCGTATTTGGCTACAAAATGCAAAACACCGCTTTGATTTTTTATACTGTAAAGTGGGAATTGTTTTTATTGTTAAAATTCTCTATTTTTTATTAACATTTTATTGCGTTATTAAACTGTAAGGCATTACATAACAGCTAAGTCTCAAATATTTAAATAGTTGCAGCCGTATTTTCTGCCCATGTACGTAGGGAAGCCACATCTGCGTAAACACCCGGATAGTTGGTGAATCCGCAACCTATACCCCACGATACAATGCCCACCAGCACGCCATCCGCAACCATTGGACCACCAGAATCTCCTTGACATGAATCTTTGCCCTCGGTGTAGGAACAGATCATAGTTTCTCTAACACTTTCACTATCATAGCCATAAATATTTGAGGCACACTTTTCCAAACCGACAACTTCTACATTAACATACTGCAATTGAGTGGGTAACGTCTGTGAACCAGAAAGTTTAGTACCCCAACCGGATACAACCGCTATGACACCATCTGCTGGCGCTGTCACAGCCAAAGGAATTGGTTTAATGGTCGAGCTAAACTTAAGTGGACTGGCTAAACGTATTAAAGCAATATCATTGGCCATGCCATTCGTGCCATACAGTTCGTGTATCTTGAATGCAGCAATCTCAGAAAGTGTACCACCAGAATTCCAGTAGGACGAACCGGCTCGTACTCTCAATGTTGTTAGTGATGGATAATCAGAAAGGCAATGTGCAGCTGTGACAATGATGGTTTCACTGTAAACCGAGCCCCCACATGAATGTGAGCCGGAGATCTGTAATGATATTTGCCATGGGAAAGAACTGATTGTGGTCGCAAAACCGCCAACAATACGTCCATCCAACAGTGGTTGCAGCTCTTCAGGTGTGGGTGCGGCTAGTACGCACACAAATATCGATAATACAATCACGATCTTCAACATTTTGGAATGTGTGTGGTGAATAAGTAGATGTGCTTTTATAGCGCTCCACCTATAGCAACGTTCGAAAGAGGACTGATGTTAGACGATCGCCATGTCAAACGGTATAGGATTGCGAAAGGTAACCAAAACAATTATCAGCAAATTTGTATATGAAATACTTATTGGGGTTACTGCCAATATACATACAATATGTTATCACGCAACTCAGCTACATAGTTGATATCATTTAAAAGTAGTTGTAAATCTTATTTTGGCATTTTTTGAAGCTAGATGTTTTTATTGAGTCTTATAGTTTTGGTTTTCCAAGTATATTATATTTATGGTGTCATTGCAACATTTGCAATAAAGAGATTTGGGTGATTTAGTAAAACATTGACATTCATTAGGCGAACGCAGATTCAATTTTTTTATTAGTAAATATGAAATCAAGGCTATCAGAAAAAGTTGTCTCTGAAATTTTGGATTTTTCCTAATACTGGTTGTACAAGTAGTAGTAGTTAGTCCTTGTTAAAATCGGTTAATGTGTTTTGGTTATGCAAAAAGTCGCACTCTCAATTGTTGGTGATTTCAAAACGTTGTCCATGAAGCTAAGCACCGCATTTTACCAATATAAGAACTCTTACATGCAACATATTATATAATCTCACATAACCTCGATTGCGTAATACTCACTTTGAGGTACAGCTTAGTGAGCTTTTTGTAGGATTACCAATAAATGCATGATAAGTACTGCTTGTATAAATTTTAATTAAATATAAACAAAAGAATAATAATAAATATAAATAAATGATAGCACGACGGAAATCATTGGTTACAATAGTCATTGAATGATTAAAGATTTAACTTTTCGCTTCTACTATGGAAGGCATTGCCATATACCGCTTATTTTATCATAACCTTATACTTAATAATAAGATTAAGTACGAGGGCGTTTCGTGAAGTGCTTAGCTTACGAAAGAAAAACGAGAATTTTGTAAAATGGTGATTTAGCTTTTAGCTTGATGTTGTAACTTCTTTGATCCGTTTGAAATAAACTTTTTTTTTGGAGGTCTGAGAAGTATCCGTTTTTTCTAAAATAGTAGAGCTTGCTGATGGTTTTTTTCATATCCACAGTAAATCGCACCTGGTGAATCCAAGAAAACAAAAGTTGAATCGGCCCAATAATTCGGCGATAGCAGCCAGATAATTATTTTACTCTTATTCAGGAAATCAAAATTGAACAGAACTTATGAATTCCAGAAAATGTCGATGGAATAGGCTTCATCTTCTTCGGAAAGGTTCGCCGCGTGAAGTCTATTGTGTCGACTGTGATGGTCTCTGCTGTCTATCAGTGAGTCCATATTTCGTCGGTGGTCATGAAACGACGCAGAAGCGGATTACGCTTAAATACTATCTTACGTATTATGCGATAGTAGCGTAGCGATAGTTATTGAACCATCTTAGTACTTAATTTTTTTTCACATTTTAGGAAAGTAATACCGCCAGGTAAAAACAAAAAATGTACTTTTTAAATTTTTTAAATCTTGAATGATAAAAATTCTTGGCAGAATATATGGCAGAAGAGTACAAAGCTTAAAATAGTCCTTAAAGACCCTTCTATCAAACCGATTCAGTGTTGATAGTACTACTATAAAATTCAAACATATAAATCTTATTGAATTACTTGTGATTAATACACATTTTATCATAACTGCCAACTCAAGTATTACTGACGTACAAATTTCGGGTCTTTCCAACTTGCTACCGCTAATGACTTATCACATTTTGAGGAGTGTCTATTGATTAAATAAATAAATATATGTATATATATATGTATATACAAAGATATTTTCAATAACGTTGTATATATGTATAGTATATATTTCCGATAATTTACCACACTTGTATGTACTTAATTATTTTACGGCCTATCTAACGATTGATCGATACTTTCTAAAAATTGATAAGAGCTTTTAGAAATCATCAATTTGTTATGTTGTGTTAATTGTTCTTTTAATTCTGCAGAATCGGGGGTTTCTTACATATTTGCATACCATAGATACGTGCACACAAGATAACTTTACAAATGTATCAATTTGTTGTCTAAATCTCTCAAAGTCATAGGACAACGGTCTTTAGCGGGCTATATAAATCAATCGTCGTGACAAGTTTTCACACAGTGCACAACGTTTTGGCGACATGATGTTCCGCTTTATTACATTGTTTGCTCTAGTGAGCGCGGTTTTTGCCGGAACCGTACCTAGTAACAACTTTGATGGCCGTATCGTAAAAGGTGTAGATACATCCATTGAGGCTCATCCCTACCAAGTATCTTTGCAAAAACTGAATGGCTTCCACTTTTGCGGTGGCAGTATAATCGATGATACCACCATTGTAACAGCGGCTCATTGTTTGCAAACAATCACAGCTGATAAAATTCAGGTGCGTCTTGGCTCTACCTACTACAACAAGGACGGTCGTACTGTGCGCGCTCGTGCTTTCAGAAATCATCCTGGCTATAATAGCAAAACTCACGTTAATGATGTAGCTGTTATTAAATTGTCCGAGTCGGTCGCTGAATCTTCTAGTATCCGTTTTATTCGTTTGGCTAAACGTACTCCGGCCACTGGTACTCGTGCTGTTGTCACCGGTTGGGGTGTTAAATGCTCACTGTTGTGCACCAAGTCTCCGGATATTTTGCAAGTAGTTGAGGTCGGTATAGTTGATAGGCACGCCTGCGCTTCCAAAGAATACAAATACGGCTCTGAAATCAGGGATACCATGGTATGTGCATATGATCTTGGCAAAGATGCTTGCCAAGGTGATTCCGGCGGCCCATTGGTTGCTGACAGTGAATTGATCGGTGTTGTGTCTTGGGGCAGAGGTTGCGGTTCAGCTGGCTACCCAGGTGTCTACAGTGATGTTGCCGATGAACGCTCTTGGATCGAGGAAACCGCGCGCTCTCTATAAGAAGTTTTAGTTTTCTTATAGAAAAGTCCACAGTAATATATATTTGTATTTTTTACCTAATGAATAAATGTATGATATTGAGTTTATATAAATAGATATGTATTTTATTCACATTTGTTTCTTCATAGTATGATGGATAAATATCCATTTATATTTGCGAAAACGGAAAGCCTTGTGAATTTTTCAAAAATCCGCGGTTAATGTTCAATCACATTTAAGATTGTTTTCCTTTTATTTTATTTCTGTTATAACAAAAAGAGTGTACCGAAAAAGCGATTATCTTTTACTTCCCAAGATTTGCTCAAAGCAGAAGTAAGGACATTTTTTCTCTTGTTGAATTATATCCATAGCTTAAAATAGTGGCTCCCGGGTAATATTAGAATCGCTGAAAATTGCATGGAGTTGCCTTTTATCTTCCTAACAGGGGTGGCTCAGGTAAGTTCATGGAATCCTTCCACAATCGCAAAGTCTGCCTGACACGATGTGTTAAAAAAGAGATTTCTTGTCCAACAATAATATGAAAATGTTGGGTAATCAAGATTATATATTTTATACATTATATATTTATTCAATTAAAAAAATCTTTTCAGGCGCACTTATCGTTCAGTGCCCAATATATGCAGCTTTGTGCGCATTATTTATCGACTTATCTATCGATTGACTGATAAAGAGGACATGAACTCAAAACATTGGATTTCCGGTGGCTGCGATATCGCGCCGGTTGATTATTTTTACATATCGAGTTAGTCAAATTCAAGTGGCTTCACCCACTATATCCGCATTGCTAAAGGTCGACGACAACGTTGTGTCTCGGGCAGACTGTGTCTCTAATGAATACAAATATGGTTCTGCAAAAGTTTACCAACAATGTTATGCGCTTATGAACTGCAGAAGGATGCTTGTCAAGGTGATTTTGGTCGTCCATTGGCGGTTGATAGCAAGCTGGTGGGTATCGTGTCCCAGGGTAATGGTTGTGCTAAAGAGAACTATTCAGGCGTTTACTCTGATGTTGCTGAGTTTCGTTCTTGGATTTTGGAAATTGCTGGCAGTTCTCAGTTTTGTACTTGCTCGTACGAATTCAAGTTCTTGTCTACCTGGTCTATCCAATACAGTGGAAACTTCCCTTCTGACGTATTCAAAAACTTAGACAGTTGTCCAATAGTCTAGTTCAATTTACGTACACCAGTTGCCAATTAGCTAATATCTGTATCATAAGTACTACTTGAATTTAAACACTGATTAGATTCGTGATTATAATAAACTGTTCAACAAGATATTTCCTACACTATCAAACTACCGAGAGCTTTTCGAAAGAAAATTCGGTTTGACATTCTTTTCAGACCTCAAATAACTTGAGAATATGATTGTGTAAGATTCTTGGCCACATAACCGTTCATTTAGCTGATATGTTTTACGTTGTTAAAACGAATTCGGTTCGGCAGGAATATGTGCTTGTTCACTTTTATAATCCGTGGATATATGAGTAGTATGTACCAATTATTGACTTCGTTTCATATTTTCGTTGATACGTAGATTAACTTTTATATTGCGGAATTTGACAATCCTAGTGCAGCAATCTGGCAAGTCACAACTTTATCGTTTGCTGTAAGTTTGACATTTTAAATCTTGCACACACACCGAACGTTTTAAAATACGAGCGCTATTTGTGTTGTTTACAGAAACTTAAAATGTTGATCATGTTCAAAAAATGGAATTTAATCGCGTACATTTTCGCGCGATTATTTTTTACAACTTTCGACGTGGATTAACTGAGCATAGTGCATCAATGAACTTAATTCAATTTTTGGTGATACAGTTGCATTAAGGACCAGTGTTTATCGATGGTATTCTGAATTCAATCGAGGTCGCAGATCACTTCAAGATGAATTTTTTCGATGTGACCTATCGTGAGATTGAGCAACCACTATTAAGTCCTGACTTGGAACCGAATGACTTCTTTTTTATTCCCGAACGTAAAAAATAAACTAAGAGATCAACGTTTTTCGACACTGTGGAAGTGGTTAATGCGTTCAGAACGCATATTTTGGAGGTACCTCAATCAGCGCGGCAAAAGTGCTTCGACAATTGGTTCAAAGACATGCAAAAATGTTTACATCTTAATGGAGAATATTTTAAATAACAATAAAGTGTTTTTCGTTGATTAATATTTGTTTTTGTTGTTTAATCCCGAAATATAAAAGACAACCTCGCATCACTTGGCTTACCTACTGCTCTTATCAATACTACACAATCGCCGACACAACCAATGAGAGAGCGCCATAATTATGAAAATATAATAAGTAGTATTTGTATCACAAATAAAATTTATTTAGTTGAAGTATAATTTTGGGCGTCAGAAGAAATTATGATATAAGGTGGTAAATAAATCGATCAATGAAGTTTGTAAAACATAAGTACAAAACACACTTTCCTCGTGGATGTTTGCCTTGGTTGAAGCATATATGTATTTGTGGATGCAAACTCGCTAGCTCTGAGGTGTTCAATGCGCTGTTCACAGCCGAATAAAGGCAAATACTTATAGGAGCAAAGCTTGGCTTCCGATTGTCGCCGCTACAGTCTTATTTTGGTAAAAAAACGTTTTTATATTATATATTCCCAAGAAATCTACTTCGTTGGATCAATTTAAACAGAATTAGGATATAATCGAGGCTGGTTTTGTGTTAAATGCAAACTATCCGATTTCTATTTAGAATATATACATATATAGAATTATAAAATTACATTTTTTTTTATTACAATAAAAAAGCACGCATTTGCAAACTTTAACATAGTCACTCGTAGAAATAATATTTAAATTCCAATTGTCGGCTGTTTTTTTTAACAACTCTTTCTAATCAGTTACGTTCAAATTTTCTTTATCATAATTCAAAATTGCTCTTGTGCTGGAAATACCAAATTTCTTTAAATCACAAATTCATAAAATCTCTGATAATGCTATCGTTTGGCGAGGATTAAAATGTCAAAACTCAGTCAAAATAAAACTAACACCTATACTACAGTTTCTTCAAAGATAGCGTTGTATACCGTATTGGGTTGGCTCAGGTCAGACTATATAAAGCGTTTACCGATTTTACACAGCCATCAGTTCAGTTTTGAAAATGTTTCGCGTTGTAGCTTTATTCGCACTCGTTAGCCTGGCCTATGGTGCCTCTCTGCCCGATGACTTAGATGGGCGCATTGTTAATGGTGTAGACACCACCATTGCACAGCATCCTTATCAAGTGTCTTTGCAAACTGTTAGCGGTGGACACTTTTGCGGTGGTAGTATTATCAATGAGAACACCATCGTCACCGCGGCTCATTGCTTGCAAACTTACACCGCAAAACAAATACGCGTTCGTTTGGGATCAACCAATTACAAGGTCGGTGGTGAATTAGTTGCGGTAAGCTCATTCACCTTCCATCCAGGTTACAATAGTAAAACTAGCGTCAATGATGTCGGTATTGTGCGTTTGGCTAAGCCAGTGGCTGAATCGGCAAATATACGTTACGTAAGTTTGGCGAATACCGCACCAAAGACAGGCACATCAGCTGTTGTCACCGGTTGGGGTACCAAATGCTACCTCACCTGCATGAGTTTGCCAACAACATTGCAAGAGGTCTATGTGGATATTGTGGATCAACTTACATGCGCCTCTAGAAAGTACAAATATGGTTCATCAATTAAGGATACAATGGTCTGTGCTTATGCTGTGAATAAGGATGCTTGCCAAGGTGACTCAGGTGGTCCACTAGTGGCTGATAATCAATTGGTTGGTGTGGTGTCTTGGGGCAAGGGTTGTGCCAAATCGGGTTACCCTGGTGTATATGCTGATGTGGCTGCACTCAAATCATGGATTGAGACAACTTCTGCTTCACTTTAAATATTTTCAATTAAATAACAGCTAATAAAAAGGAACTATCGTCATAAAATTTGTGTCAATTTTATTAACCATTGTCCACGATTTATGGTGATATTGGATCTGCCCGAATGTTTTCGAGTAATTTTGTTTATATTATTTGTCTTAGGATTTAACAGAGCGTCATTAGCAGAAATTCTTTTTTGGATTTTTTAAGTTCTATCAGCGTTTATTCAGCTGGTTTTGTATAAAATATATAGCTAATATCGAAAATATTTGCAATTGTTCGAATAAAGAATCGAAGATTCGATAGACAAATTTTTGTTGTGCGTCATTCCGATGGCATTTATGGGAGCCTATCTTAATGATTTGCTTATCCTACTGGAAAAGCATTGTGCTTTCTCTGCATCTTTCGATTCTTAAATGAGATGAAATATAATAAATACAATTTAAGTAATACTAGTGCGCCGGTAATTTTAAAAGCATATTTATCTACCGTAAAATGTAAAATGTTACTTTCCACGACTGAAACTTCCCGCTACAGGACCCTATCTGTGAGTTAAACATTTCTTTAAGTATTTATGTGTTTAAATAAAAATATACCTACATTTATTTGAGCTTCTGAGACTTGTCTCAAGACCACTGGGTGTGTCTAATCAAGAAAATACACTATTTTGTATATGAACGTACCTTATTAACGAATGTTATTCAATTTCTGGCCTGCATTAACTCCGTTTATTTACAACTTCAATCCGTCGCACGAACGTACTGATAAAACAGACATTTTAATACTTTTCAATGCACAACATTATTTATTGTGCAATTAAAATCCGCCACTATAAATATTGATCTTCAAAAGTAACCTGATTTTAGTTAAGCAAAACCATGCTACGCCTTACAATTCTTTGTGCATTCCTCAGCACTGCATTCGGTGCTTACATGTCCACCGAATTAGATGGACGTATTGTTGGTGGAGCTGCCACTACTATCGAAGAGCATCCTTATCAAGTATCGATCTCTACGAGGTTGGGCGGCCACTTTTGTGGCGGGAGCTTGATAGCGGCTAATATTGTTGTCACTGCCGCACATTGCTTGCAGAGCTTCAAAGCCTCTAGTATACGCATACGCGCCGGTTCGACCAACAATAAACGAGGTGGTCAAGTTATAAATGTTTCGGCTGCTAAATATCATCCAGCATATAATTTCAGTACAATTGAAAATGATGTGGGCATTCTGAAATTAGCCGCTCCAATACAGGAATCAGAGAGTGTTGGTTATATAGAGTTGGCTGAGACGACACCGCCCACCGGCACGTCAGCTGTAGTTACGGGTTGGGGTACCAAATGTAATAGCTTCTGCTTGATACCGCCCACCGCTTTGCAGGCCGTCGAGCTGGAGATTGTGCAGCGTGAAGATTGCGCTTCAAACGCCTACAAGTATGGTGACGTAATAAAGGAAAGTATGGTGTGTGCATATGCATTGAAAAAAGACTCATGCCAGGGTGATTCGGGTGGTCCCTTAGTTGCGAATGGTAAACTTGTTGGTATTGTATCCTGGGGTTATGCGTGCGCTAAAAAAGGTTATCCGGGTGTTTATAGCAACGTTGCTACACTTCGTAATTGGATATTGAATGCAATTACAGAAATTTGAGAGTGTTTTAAGGAAGCGATAAATAACATAAATAAGCGGAATAAAATACATTGTCGCCAATAGCATTTGCTTATGACTTTATTAATTGGATGATTTTAATGTGATGATTTTATTTGTTGGTATATGATATCAGCACTCCTGGAAGTGACTGTTCTCACATTTATTTTGGAAGTGCGCGATTTTATTATAATTTATGATTACATAGGTAGACATAAACGTCATAGACTTATAAATGAATTCGATTGATTAGTGGTTTCGGTAATTTTTTCGTTTTCTTGCCCAACACAATTATTCGTTATAAAATTGTTTCATGTACTCCCTGTCAAACAGTTTACTTGATAGCCTTCTTCGTCATGTATCGTTTTTTAGTGTTTGGTGCTCTACTAAGCACGGTCTTGGGCTCTTTCATTTCTGATAAATTCAGTGGACGTATTGTCGGCGGTGTGGACACCACTATTGAGCAACATCCATATCAGATTTCAATATGGCTAGTTGAAGAGCAAGCGCACTTTTGCGGTGGCAGTCTTATCAGTGAGAATTTTGTGCTCTCAGCTACTCACTGTCTACTTGGCTTTGAACCATTCGATTTGCGTGTACGCTTAGGTTCGACGAACTCTACTAATGGCGGTCTCTTAGTCGAAGTAGCCGCTATAAAGACACACTCTGGTTTTAGCGGTATTACTGCAATGAATGATATTGGTTTGTTGAAATTGGCAAAATCTGTGGCACAAACAAATAGCATTCGCTATATCGAGCTCGCAGATGTGGTACCAGCGACCGGCACACCTGCTGTTGTCTCCGGTTGGGGTATCAAGTGCAGCCTTTGCTTTAGAACGCCAGTTATTTTACAAGCTGTGGATGTCAATATTGTACAACGTGAAGATTGCGCCTCGAGTACTTATAAATATGGTGATCAAATCAGAGAGTCTATGGTTTGTGCTTATGCATTGAAGAAGGATGCTTGCACTGGGGATTCGGGTGGTCCGTTGGTGGCTGAAGGCAAATTGGTTGGTATTGTTTCGTGGTCAGAAGGCTGTGCCAAAAAGGATTATCCTGGTGTGTATGCCAGTGTACCAGAACTACGGCAGTGGATATCTAGCGCTATAGCGGAGTTGTCGAGTGAGGACTCATATGCAGTTTCGTATTTGTAAAATCTAATTTGTTTGAAAAGTTAGTAAATATTGTAGAAATGTTTCTGTTTTTTTTTGTGTTATGTCGTTTAAAATCGCATAAAAACAGAATGGTAAAACTAAAAAACATAAGCTCTATTATTTCAAGGAAATGTTTCTGGGTTAGTTATCTTGTTGTGATGAGGAGGCTCAGTATGTGTAGGTACAATAACCGGTAGGATCTCCCAAGCCGGTATGCGCGAAGAGGAGCACCCACATATAAACTACGAACTCTGGGTTAATTCCCCATTACATAAACGTTTGTATTGATTTTTGGTAATAGTTCCAAAGTCATTTCAGATTAAATTGTAGTAATACTGCATGTTTTTGTTTATAACTTGTTTTCGGGTCTAATTGAAATGAGCCACCCTAATCGTGCTCTTTATATTAGCATATTTTTATCTCCACTTCCAATATATTTTATTGCTTACTAAATATGTGCACCGGTCTACTACTGTTTATTAATTTATTTTGGACTCAAATTTCATGCGATAATCGAGCAAAGACTAATCAACCGTTTTATAACATGAATTCGCTTGGAAAGAATTGCTATTTAAATAAGCAAAAAAAAATATATAAATAGCATAAGGAGAGAGCATTTATATATCCAATTAATTACAATTAATTATAAAATTAAATAAAAATATTATTATTTCAGATAATTGTGTATTTTAGAAGGTACATGTTTATATAAAATTTTTGACTGCAATGTAGTATTATAAACAAGTTGTCTAACCGATTAATCAGCAGCTAAAAGTTGATCATGCGCGATAATAAAGTTATCGTAATAAATAATAATGGGGAGCGGTTGATGGATTAGGTTGATATTATCAGATTTTTTTGCTATTTCTAAATCGAAAATAAGGTGTATATATGTATAGAGTTTATATATATTCTCAAATCGCAAATCTTTCTTATTTCTCACATGAAAAATCCATATTAAATAATATATTTTAAACAGAAATTGCTCTTGAACCTATGACGACTATACATATTATAGTGTCATAAGTCACATACAAATACACTGTGCTCAAAGCGATATATTATTTTGCAGAAATAAACCAAAAAATTTTCGAATTCTACAAATTATGTGAGCTACAATTTAGTCTTCATAAAGTGCTCATTGCAGGCATAGCAGAGAGCATAGATGTGTAAAAATTTGCATTGTCACATATATCATTAACTTTCATCGCTCTCCTACTCGTGGGTTTTAGCGCAACACATGTCAACACACGTTCACAGCTAAATCAAAACCGCATTATAGACGATGAAGATGTATCAATTGTACGTTATCCGCATAAGGGCTGACTGCGTCGTAAGACCTTATATGCAACGGTGAAGTGACAAATTGCTTAACAAATTTAATTTAAGTTTTTGTTGCCATTTCTATTTGCATTTAATAAAATGAACAAGATTCACGGTGTCTAGTGGAAAACCTAGATGGAACTCGTTCCATAGAAAAGTATTGCTAATCTTTCAAAATGGAGTCGTCTTCGAATAGTTAATCAGTTTAGATTAGAATTTGTGTATCAAAATTACATGTGGCAGTTGGACATTGAATCCATTTTTCACTTCCCTCTTGGCATGCAATTTTGTTTTTATTCAATTCACGCAAGATTGTCACAGAACCAGGAAATTTTCAAACGAAAGTGCGTTATACTTTTTAACTAACGCTATTGGTATACAACAAATACTAAATTGTAGTCAATAGAATGTTTTATGCGTAAACATGACAGTTTGCTCGACAACTGTTCAAATAAAGTAAATAACCGTAAGAGAGAATACCGTCAGATAAACTTAAAAATTAACTTCGAACTAAATAAAGCTTTCAGTAACGTAAGTGAAATGCAATCCATTAGGCCGAACTTCCCTTAAATTTAGTAGTACTCAAATAACGTTTTTCACGTTTGCGACAAAATTAGCGCGTATGCGGTCAGGAAAGAAACGCTGTTCTCGGAAATACGGACTTAAAAGTTAAGCATCAACCAGTCAACCAACCGATATAATGTTTCTAATTGTTATGTAACATACCTTTGAATTAAGGATACTTAAAGATTACCATAGTCGAAGCGCTCTTCTATATAGTAGGTGGGAGTATCACTCCGACAGTCAAAAACACATTACCAGTAGTAAGGCGTTACGTTACTAACGTGTTATGTGTTATGGCATTGGAATTCGGTTTGACAGGTTTTATTTCCGCTATATATGCTCCTTAACATTTTTCCAGATAAAATAGCGGTGGTATAATTAAAAATTTGAATTTCAGATTGAGGTCAACGACGTTTGTTGGATATTGGATTTTACTCATACATAGTTATCTGAAATTAGATTCATAAGGCATTGCGTTAAGGATGAGAGAATTGAAATGCGTATACTTCAACAGATTAAATGAAAAGCGAAGCTTTCAAAACTAATTCCAACAAATCAACATAAAACATATGATCGACTTTTCAGAAACTGTTTGAAGTCGAAACCATATTCTGAAACCATATGCTAGCCCGGCTTTCGGCTATAAAAACATAAATCAGTTATATAGCCGACTGAAACTGCTCTTGAAAGCGGAAAATTTCCTATAACCTTTCATTGTTCTCTATAAAATCACGTGAATCTAGCGCTAGCTTACAGACCTAGTAGTTGAACCATCGCTCGCCTTAGCTCGACGTTATGAAACCAAAAAGCGTCAGCGAATACTGCAACCCTACGAAGGTTATATTATTTATTTGGTTAGTATACTCTTTGACACTTGTTTAACTTATGAATAATATATGCTATTAGGATAAGTAAATAATACTTCGAAGAGCTTTTTCTATAAATTTTATAACAGTGCAACAGTTTTGGACACATTTTGCGTAACGGTTCGACAAAAAGGTTCTAAATTCTCTAGTGAAAATGTTTAAAACCTACACCTGCCGTGTTTTAACGCTTTTGATCGCGTATCAAATCAGCTTTTCACATGCCATAGGAGTTATCGGCGGTGTAAAGACAACTATTACGGATCATCCATATGTGGTTTCCCTGCAATTAGCCGATGGCACACATATTTGTGGTGGCGCTCTAATCAAGAAGAATATTGTCGTGACAGCTGCGCAATGCTTCTTTTTTCAGGATCCCACCCAGCTTTACGTACGTCTTGGCACTGGCAATTATTCAACTGATGGTGAACTCATACCAATTAGTTCTTATATAATCAATGAGAATTTCGATTTCACCACCATGGACAGTGATGTGGCGGTATTGAAGTTGGTGAAAAATGTAGCGAAATCATCAACAAAGCGTGAGATTAAAGTGGCTGGAGAAAAACCGAAGACGGACAGAAGTGGCGTGGTTACTGGTTGGAGTCAACGTCGACAATTGGAAGATGTGACAGTGCGCATTATTAATGCAAAGAAATGCCGATCTGGTGAATATATTTACAATGAAGACGATATAATGGATACCATGTTTTGCGCTCAGGCGTACAATAGGTATGTCTGCGGTGGCGAACCGGGCAGTCCTTTAGTGTATAAGAAGAAATTGATCGGTTTGGTGTCCTGGGCTTATGGTTGTGGCAATGTAGGCAATCCAGCCGTATATACAAATGTAAATAATCTACGAAAATGGATCAAAAAGGCGATAAAAAAGCTATAGGATGGGATTTTTCTTGAATAAAGTGGATTTAAAAAATTTATAAAACAAAAAAAATATTATAGAGCGATATTCATATATGTATATATGAATAAAAAATAATCAAAATAATAACTAAACTAAAAAATTTATTGCGTTTTATTTGTACCGAACACGAAATTGTAATGCCGCTGCTTGTCAATGTGTACTATCAAGAAATGCGAATTAGTAATACCTGAGGACGTAAAATATAGAGAAGGTGCAAATCGAATTTTGTATAATGCTCGATTGGACGGCAAATAGAGCTGAAAAGCACCGAGTAGGTAATTTAGCATTTTCTAACATCTTCGCTAATATTTAGCAGAAACATGTAAAAATCCTACAAATATCTTTGTACATGCGCATGAAGTCACCTTGTAACTTCCAAATCAAATAACATCTAGGCGCGAGAGTTGCCTAAGCACTGGCCTAGCACGATGCCTACATTTCTTTTATTGAGCGAGTTGGCAACCAGCTTCCCGTGTGGTCATCTTATAACTTTTAAATCACATCACATGGCGGCACGAGAGGCACCTAAGCACAGGCCAGGCACGGTGCCTGCTTTACTTATATAGAGACAGCTGACAGCCAGCTTCTCGTGAGGTCACCTCATGACTTTTAAATCACATCGCATCGCGGCATGAGAGCACTTATTTACTTATATAGAGCCAGCTGGCAGCCAGCTTCCCGTGAGGTTACCTCATGACTTTTAAATCACATCACTTCGCGGCACGAGATTCACCTAAGCACAGGCCTGGCACGGTGCCTGCTTTTCTTATATAGTGCCAGCTTTTAGTTAGGTTACCTTAGGGTACCTCCCATAGTTTATTTAAAATTTGGTCTTTTCATGTAAAACATCTCTATTGATTTACCATAAAAAGTCTGTAGTATGAAACTTCTGCAAACCAATTACTATGGCCGGCTTTGTCATTTAGCGAATGTAAGTGTTTCCGAACTTTCGGATAACTTTATATTATATATTTTGATTAATATGGGTAAAAATGCAAATATAATTAAGAATGATTTAATGCCAAAAATAAAAAAATATCATTTCACTTCTTCTCATAGAACCCATGTACCCAATATAATGTTTTATGCACGCCTGATGTTATGCCACATATATGTACATATATATGTATTGTATGTACGTCAATACCTATGTAAGATATCAAAATGAAATATTGGGCTACTATTTCGCTTAGCATAATGAGTTTCAGGATCAAAAGTGCATGATAGCGGTTCATCGCCTATCACACCCATTCAATGAGGTTTACTTTAAAGTCAATATATCGAATCTAAGTACGAACCTTACGTTCCATGGAAAACCATAAAGTATGGAAAAATACAAAAACGCTAATTTCTATTTTTTTACTATTAATTTCGTCACGGTTCTCTTTATTATTTGCACATATGTATTAAATTTTCTTTAGTTCAGTGTGAGTAAATAAAAAATTGCTAATGTTTACGTCAACTTGTTTTTAAACAAATGCAGGCAAATTTTTCATAGAACAAGTAAGGAAGGACTAATTTACACCCCAAACAGTTAATACTCTAGCAACTTGCAAGAATCAAAACCCCGTAAATTCCTTTAGTTGTTGACAAAACTTTATATTAAGAAATGTAAGGCAAGTTTTCACCCTATTTTATCCATTTTGGGAAGGATATACATACTGTTATTAGAAAAACGCGCTTTCTCAATTTCATTAAAATAACTAGCACATTGGCCGATATATGTGGTATAAAATCAACTTTAAATCTTTATATAAGGTATATAACGGCTTAAATAAAATATTCGTGCAAATTTGTATACCGATATATTAATTAGTCGCTCATTTTTGCACTGTTACATGGGAATGTCAAAATAATCTTCTGTACCAAATTTGGTTGAAATTGGTAGAGTAAGATTCGGAGTTATATGATTTCACCTAAATGTGGGCGGTGCCATGCTGATTGTCCAATTTTGACACCTGCTCCTATAAAGCTCTTTGTGTCATCACGTATGTGAAATTTATTGCATCCGATGTAGTTTTAGTAGTTTTTAACAAAACTGTTATATGGGGTTATCGTCCGATTTCCTTTTTTTCTGGCTGTCTCAAGAGGTATCGAAATGATATGTTCTGTTTAAATTTGGCTGATATAGCTTGAATAGTTTGGTAGGGATATATACGTTAAACCTATTAGGGCCCGGGGCCACGGCCACTTTAAAAAAATTTGTAAACCACGGGTGTCGCTTATTATTGCGATTGTTTGTACCAAATTACGGTTTTGTATCTTAATTTACGGCTTAGTTAAGGCACTTTACAGGTTTTCAATTAATACGAACACATCCTAACTTTTTTTGCTAAGAAACACGTGTAAAAAGTTTCAATGAGATATCTCAATTTTTACTCAAGTTATCGCTTGCACGGACGGACGGACAGACAGACAGTCACTCGGATTTCAACTCGTCTCATCAACCTAATCTTTTATCTTATATATAGGTATATATATAACTATAACTCTATATCTAACCTGATTATTTTTAGGTGATACAAACAACCGTTAGGTGAAGAAAACTATTATACCTGTAGCACGAGTTGCAAAAATATAAATTGGTTAAATCTCATATGGTTAATATGTCACTGTGAAATTTACCTTCTTTTGCCATTTAGCACAAAACAATTATATAATCTCTTAATAGTGCTTTATTTGCGCGCGTTTCTGGTTTTCGGGAGTATATAAGGGCATGAAAAAACAAATAGTTCATACTTGTAGTTAAAATTTCAACACCAAAGCAATTAAGAACTAACCGCTGAGCTTCATAACACTACAGTTCATAAAAAAATGGCCAAGTTATATATTTCTAGTTTTTTGCTGGTCATCGCGGCCTGCGTTTGTAACATAAACGTGTTTGTAGCTGCTGAAACTACGATTGAAGAATATCCGTACATCGTCTCGTTACAGGATATCTACGGCTCACTCGTCTGTTCTGGTGCCTTAATTGATTCGACAACCGTTGTCACTGCGGCACAGTGTTTAAGTTTCTACAACATATCATTTCTGTCTGTCGGTGTTGGCAATTTCGCTAGATTCGTACCAATTGCCAAAACCATCATCAAGTCAGATTTTGAAGTCGGCACCCTGGAGAATGATGTGGGCCTCGTGAAATTGGCAGAAGAAGTGAGTGTTGGTACCATCGCACCAGCCACGAAAGAACCAAATATCGATGTTAGTAGCGTGGTGACCTTTTGGGACTCAGACTACAAGTTGGTGGATACAACGGTGAGACGCATTAGCCCTCAGGAATGTGGTACAGGATACCGCTACGAAGAATGGGAAATATTACCCGGAATGCTGTGCGGATTTCCGAAAGAATGTGGCGCTGAAACCGGAAGTCCTTTGGTTTCAAACAATAAATTGATTGGTGTGGTTTCCTGGGGTTCTGTTTGTGCTAACAAAGAGAGTCCAACTGTCTTCACTGATATTGCATACGAAGCATCGTGGATCACCGAAACGGCTAGATCGCTTTAAATTTGTATATAATATTGAAAATTTAAAAAAATGAATTAAAGTTTTGATTGAAGCAAATGAGTGCATTTTAGTCCTACTGTTAATTTTAGAACGTATATGCTCTGTCTGTCAACGTTTAGAACGTCTTTTTTTAAATCACTACGGATTCAGATCATTAGATACTATATAAATTTAGTGAATAGACTTCATTTTATCGGGATATGGTCTAAAATTCAAATAGCTGGATTAAATCCGTTTAATGCCGATAGTTTGTATAGTCTGAAAATTATTGGGGGAAATCGAACGAATTTCGTCTTAACTCCATATCAGGTTTCGTTGCGTTTAAATGTGAGTGTGAGAAACAATGTAGCGAATAGTTTTATATGCACTGAGGCATTCAAACAATATTACTCAACTAAAACACGAATATTTAGCTTTCAAATGAATGACACACTAATGTTATTTAAAACAAGAAAACACTTCGGTTGCAACGAAGCTAGAATAACCTTCACAACTACAAAAGGTTCTTTACAAGAACTTGATTTTGATTAATCAGTATATATAGCAGGTATGTACTTGTATACACTATAGTGGTCCGATAATGGAGGTTCCTATCTCAAAAACTGAGAGACTAGTTCGCGTATATACAAACAGACAGACGGCTAAATCGACACAGCTAATCATATGTATGTATGTATATAAATGGACAACCGGAGAATCGACACCAACGTATTATGGTTAGGGAATGCTCTTGATTGCATTTAATTTAACTGACATTACTCGTTATATGTTCACTTAATTTTTCTAAGACATCCTATATATTGACTAATATATGTACATATACTTGTATGGTATAAAGTCAACCGAAAGTTCGAAAGTAATTATGTTGGGTATATGGGGCTATGGGAAGTATTAACCAATTTTTAACACAAGGACACACTTTAATCGAAAATAAATTCTCTCTGAATCTCAATAATTTATCTCACAGATCGAATGAAATTTTAGGTAAAAAGTCAGCCATAAGCACTCGTAAATACATATTTGATATCTTGGTGCTTGAAAATTTATGGTCCGATTTCGAAAACTTTTAGTCGTGTGATGTCTTAAGCGCACTATTTGTGCAACATTTTATTCCGATAACTTCATTGATGCTTGAAATCGTGATATATGGGGTGTGAGCATAGTTATCATCCGATTTCATCAATTTTCACACAGTGCTGGGCCAAACCGACTTTTAAAAAACTTTTATCTACAAATGCCTCTCCATACTCTACTGTACCAAAATACAGTTTTGTATATTTATTTTTGCCATGGCTATATCCTTTTAAAATTTTAACTTAACGGCATTTTATGATCCTTAGGGTACCAAGAAAAACACAATTTTTATTCATTATATCGCTATTACGGACAGACAGTATGGAAAAATAAACAAGACGTGAATTCATATTATTTCATTTTGTATTAATTGTTTAGCTAATTCAGGTTAAATAGATTTACAAATTAAGGTTTGAGTAATTATTTACACATCTGTATATATTCATGTTCAGTGCAAGTAAATGGAAAATTTTCTAATGTTTACTAATGAAACTTGTTATTAGTTGCAAAATTTAAATAAAATATGTAATACAGCTGCGACTACACAATAACAGAAGCTGCGAGTGCTAATTCTATATTAATGATAACTGTAATAAATATCATTAAAAATCAAAAAAAATAATGCAGATAACGTTGATCTCAAGCTGGCAATGATTTCTATAACTCAAATTTGATGAAACCGATCGGCTGATTTTTTTATATACGCATACTATTCCACATTGCTTTTTAAACATATTTCGGATTGTTGTATCTGACAACTTTATCACACAACTTTAGCTACTACATAATAGACGATAGATCACCTGCACTCAACAATGTAGCCGTGCAGCTGGTGCCTAGTTTTTTAGTGATCATATCTCTATATTTTAGAACAATCAATTGTACATCGAATGTCAGTAAATATGATTGTTCTTAATTAATTCCCCCTGCGGGTAGGGGTAAGAATCTACCCGCGGTAAGGCATGCCTGTCGTAAAAGGCGACTAAAAGCCAAATGCACTATGACTGTTATTATGTACCTTGCTCAGTAATATCAGCATAGTATGTCAGAAATAGTGCTATAATACTCAGCTTGAACTGATATTATAGACTTTAAATGAAAAAGCAAATAAAAAGACATTTGAAGTTCAAGCGACAAATGTCACCAGTCATTGAGTAATGGGTTGCTCAACTGGCAGTAGTTTCGGCTACACAGTCTTACCGGAGACTTTCTGGTACCACGGGGAACAGAAAGCCCTTGGACTTCGGTCCAATCTGCTCATTGGGTTATGGCCCCTTAGGGGAGATTTGTGGTGGCTGTGGTTGAAACCTAAATGCAGGAAGAACTGAAAATTCAGCCTAACTGTTTTTTCAGTTCTAAAATAAAGTTGCAAAAAGCAACTGGGTTCCGTACCCGAAATCGGAAGAGGTTTTAGGTCGGCCTCGAATCATACCAAGATGGTAGTGTGGACCCAGACACACTGCCACTGGTATCCAAATAAATACTTGCAAATAGAGAATATTTAGAATAGTCGACAAGTGAACCAGTTTTTTAAAATGTTTAAAGGCTCGAGTTTTTCTGTTTTTCAATTTATATAACTCTTTCAAAGACCACGGACTTATACTTTTACTTTTATTAACAATTACTATTGGAACATACTTTTCAAATAATTTCGTAATAATGTTTTTAAAATGAGAGACACTCAATTCAATGTCACCATTATAATTAGGCCATGTTATTGTAGAAAGTTCTGTATTTAACTTTTTAAAATTACCTTTTGCAAAGTTAAACCGAGTACAGAAGCACGAAGTTTGATGATTATTATCCCGAACATTGCCTGAGATTTCGACAGATATTTCCAAAGCAGGATGATATGAGTCCTCTGGTAGAACAAGAGGATTACTCTGAATAACGATACGCTCGTATCAACGTATACTAAATCTAAGCATTTACCAAATTTATTCGGAATCAAATTAATTTGGTTCAGACCCAACTCGAACATTTTATCGAAAAACTCATTAAAACATGACCGATTGCAAATCTAAGTTTAGATTTAAATTCGCGTACAAAAGCCCCAGGTGGCCAGAATGAACTATCTAAGACCTTTTTGAATGCTTCAAGAGATACGTCTATTTTAAACGATGATATACTTCTATCATAATTGAAGTTAAATTTACGGATATTGATATCATCGATTTTTAAACGTAACGAAATGTAAGATTTAATGTCCTCCATCAAGGTATCTTTGGCAAGTCTCGAAATAAATATAGAATTTTTAGGTGGAATAACTATCAAATTATTAACTGATGCTACTAAGTTATTAGGGGGGGCCTCTGGAATTATGAGACACTTATTACTATTAGATAGAGCTTTTGGGGAATTGAGCTCTTTGAAAGTTGACGGCTTATCACCTTGGGAGGAGACGTTCTTTTCTGTACAAAAGAACTAAGTGTTACTTCATCGGAAGGACGTTTACGTTTAGGAACAGGTTTAGAGGATTCGTGAGAATTATTCAGGCACTTAAAAGATTTGAACAATTTTTCATAGTGCCTAAATTTTTCAGTGAGGGTTACAAGATCTCGACCGATTTCGTTAAAGCCATTGCGTGTCTCCCTATAAACTTTAAATAGATCGATTTCAATAGATCTACAATTTAAACAGGACCAACGCAATCCCTTACAGTCGAGAATAGAATCTAAGATTCTACCTGTCAGTCCAGCACATTTAATATAGGCAAGCCCATCACAAAGCCAACATGAAACGTAGCGATCTGACTCGCCTTTAATGTTACAATTGGCGAAGTTTTAAGACATAATAAACAACAAAAATGAAGATAAAATAAAAGAGTAAGTAGAATAAAATTTAATAGATATATAATAAATTAGTGTGTTAATAAAATATTAATAATAATAAATTCAATTAAGAACAAACGCAAAAATAATAGCAGTTTTTTTTTATCAAAGTTTAAAACCAAGACAGTTTTAAAAATCAATATAGCGAGCACTTTTAGAAGCACTGTAACAAATAAAAAGCTAAACGCAACACCTCTGTGAATAAAGAACTAAATGAGACAAATAATGAGAGAAAATAGAATTAAATAAAACAAAATGAAACAAAAAGCTGACTCGGCAGCAAAAATTCGAAAGTTTAAACTTTTTAATACTGCATAAAACTTGAGAACATTTAATACTTATCTTGCAACTCAGAGTTAAATCACTAAAAATTGTATTAAATCAGGAAAAAAAATCAATTAAACTTGAAGAATTTTGTAAAATAAAAACACAAAAGTTCACAGCCAAAAAATTACAGCTTAAGAGTTTGAAGTGTTGCCACCTTTTGTGGTTGTGGCAACAATGGTTATCCAACTGTCTTGACTAACATAGCATCTTTAGAATCGTTTGTATCGTCGACCTACCTTGTAGGTAGGTAGGTAGGTAAAGTGGCTGTCATTCGACACACTTTGGCCTTTAGGAGGCCCATTGTGATACCACTGGGACTGTGATCCCCTCACTTTATTGGCTCCTCTCTGAACCACCCCGTACTTCTGATGAACTTCATCAGTGAGACAAGTTTTATCTGTGCAACCTCCGAGACGTCGTCAAGAAACCCACGACCGATGGTTGCGATTCTTTTCCTATATAGTGCTGCGCAATCGCATAGAAGATGTGTAATGGTCTCCTCCTCTTCTACTTCCTGACAGCTTCTACAATAGTCGTTATATGGCGCGACAAGTCTACTTGCATGTCTGCCTATTAGACAGTGGCCTGTTAGTACTCCTACGAGAGTTCTATATCATTCCTATTGAATTTTAACAGTCGGCATGTGCGGCTCATATTCCATTCTTGCCACGTTTGCCTGCTGGTTGAGCAGGTCAGGGATTGATTCCACTGACACTCGGCTATATTAATGACATGTTTGTCGATTAGGTATCTACACGTAGCCAGAGGCATATTTTTGTCCACCTTACCAGAATCTAGTTGTAGGGTGGTGCTTGTTCTGGCTAGTTCATCTGCTACGCAGTTACCAGGGATGTCACTGTGTCCTGGAACCCATTGCAGATTTACAGTGAAATAGGATGACAGATCCGCTAGAAGATCATGGCAATCCTTCACTGTCTTCGACGAAATCCTATGAGACATCAGAGATTTCAAAGCCGCTTGGCTGTCTGCATATATAAATACACTTCTTGTTGTGATTACGCTTTTTGTTAGTACAAGAAGGCTTTCTTTAATTGCAGTGACCTCTGCTTGGAAGACACTACAGTGGTCTGGTAACCGTAAGGCGATTTTGGTATCTAATTTAGCCGAGAAGACACCGCCGCCTACTCGGTTATCCAGTTTAGTCCTGTAAAATGGGTAAATTTTTTGCTATATAAAATTATATTAAATAAACTGAGGTTATATCTAAAATTAGAAACAATTTTATAATTAGTTGGCTGGGTGATCCGTAGAAAAGAAAGGAAAAAAACTTTTCAGAAAGTTGTATGAATTTATGAAATGAGACATTAGACGAAAGCAGGCCGGTTGATCTTTTAATGTACGCATGCTATATACATCGTTGCTTTTTGTTGTTGTATCAGACATTAGATTAAATGACTAGGATTCTAGCAAATCAACTCAACTTTAGCTACTACGTAATAGACGATAGAACACCTGTCATAAACAATGTAGCCGAGCAGTTAATTTTTTAGTGATGATTCAATTGTCATCGAATTGCAGTAAATATGATTGTTTGCAATAAAATACGTTTACCGTAAACAGTTTATACAGCGCAAATGATAAATACACGTTTGACGATTATGAAGGTATGTATATAAGATGGACACGTTAACCCAATAAAGCATAGATGATCCCAAAGTCGTTTCAATGCAAGGTAAATATGGTCCAACGATAAACAGGTGCTTCATTAGTGGTTAATAATAAGCTGGTCGGTTTGGTTTATTGGAGTTATGGCTGTGGCAATAAAGATAATTCAGCAGTCTACAAAATTATTGCTTCCAAGTGCTCGTGAAACCTTGAAACGCCTTATAAGCTTTCAATGTTTAATTATTATTATGAATTCAAATATTAAATTGATGTTTTAATTGAAGCAACAGACTGAATTTTAATGTGAGACTTAAAGTTAAAGATTTTAAAGTTGCTGCAGTGCTGAAAGCTTTCTTTTGAAAAATGATCGTGAACATAATGAATGTTAGAAACTAATTTCAAAACACCCAACGGTTTTAATTTTTCAACAAACTATGGTTAAGTTTTAGCGAATTCAGGAATAGCCTCTTCAAAAAAATACATTCCTCGTATCGTTCATAATAGAAGAGATTGAGACCGACTGATCCTTTCAAAATGAATAGGCCAACGGTTGGATTTTGTTCATTTTGAAACTTTTGAAACCCTGTTTCAAAAAAACATTCTCTTTGAAAATTACCAGCTTTTGAAAGGCGCTCCACGACAAAAATCGAGACGAGACTCGGCCATACTTTTAATGATTTTTGTTTACATAGTTTACCTCATTTTATTTGTATATTATTTAAGAACGTGCAAAACGTTGAAAGGCAATTTAAAAACTGAGAACTAGTAAAATATTTTCATGAATTTATTTGTTTATTGTTTTCAAAATTGTAAGTTATCTGCAATAGGCCAAGATTTATCAATTTTTACTCAAGTAATCGCTTGCATGGACGGACGAACATATCGTCACCTGGAATTGAACTCGTCCTCTCCATCCGGATTAATTATATAAGTTTTAGGTGTTACAATAAGTAGCTAGAGGGTAATAAATAAGGTTTAAAAAACTTTAAGTACACACCTAACGTTCAATGGAAAACTTAAAAACGTGTGAACATAAACAAAATCCTAATTCATATAATTTTTTTATTAATTGTTTGTTAGGCCAGGTTGAATAGATATACAAATAATGGTTTCAGTTATTATTTGCACAGCTGTATATTTTTAGTTCGGCGAGAGTAAATAAAAAAGTGCAAATGTTTGCTAATGAAAAGAAAACTTATTTTTAGACAAAAGGTAGACAAAATGTAAATAAAATAACTAGTATTAAGTAAAATAAGCGACTATTTATTTAATATTAAAGATAACGTTTAATAAAACACATATTTGAGGGTGGCAAGTGGTGACTGATACAGGTCCTAAACCTGGAATATTTCCTAGCGTAACGTCACGGCAGCCTTATTGATATTTACATAAAATGCAAGACAACATTGTACACCCGTTATTATGAAAATTGGTGAAAACCTCATATACCTTATATTAAGTCTGCCACGAAGTTTGTAACATCCAAAAGGAAACGTCAGAGACCCTCCCCATTACGAGTATATGTGTATATAACTAATCAGAGTGACGAGCTAAGTCGATTTAGCCTTTTCCGTCTGTCCGACTGTCTGTCTGTATATATACGAGCTAGTTCCTAAGTTTTTCTCACCAAAAAGCTGCTCATTTGTCGGAACGGCCGATATCGGACCACTATAGCATAGCTGCCCTACAAACTGAACGATCGGAATGAAGTGCTTGTATGAAAAACTATTTTGTGTGACAAGCTATTTTCACGAAATTTGCCAGATCGGACCACTATACCTTATAGCTGTCATACAAACTGAACGATTAAACTTAAGTTCTTGTATGAAAATTTTTTTTATTAGACAAGGTATCTTCACGAGATTTGGCATGGATTATTGCCCAATTTAATAATGCAATCTCCAAAAAAATTGTTCAGATCAGATATCTATAACATATAGTTGTCATACAAATTGACCGATGGAACTCAAGTTCTTGTATGGAATACTTTTTTATTTGACTAGGTATCTTTGCGAAATTCGGCATAGATTATTATGAAACTCATCGCAACAATCTCTGAAGAAATTGTTCAGATCGGAGCACTATAGCATATAGCTGCCATATAAACTAACCGATAATAATTAAGATAAAGCACCTTTTATACTACTCAATAGTATAAAAAATGCACCTGTGAAGGGTATTATAGCTTCGGTACAACCGCAGTTAACGTTTTTTCATTTAATTTAATTTTTAATTAAGGCTTTAATTAGAAACAAAAGCTGTCTCTTTCTTTCTTCCGCAGACAAAAAATTGAATGTTTAGAAGTACGCTGCATGTTTTTTAGAATATATAAGGTCATGAAAAAACGAATAGTTCATAGTTGTAATTTCGACACCAAAATAATTAGGAACTAACCGCTGGTCTTCGTAAAACTACAGTTCATAAAAAAATGGCCAAGTTATACATTTCTAGTTTTTTGCTGGTCATCGCGGCCTGTGTTTGTAACATAAACGCTGTTGGAGCTGTGGGTGGTGTTGCCACTACGATTGAAGCACATCCGTATATCGTCTCGCTACAGGATACCAACGGCTCACTTGTCTGTGGTGGTGTCTTAATTGATACGAGGACCGTTGTCACTACGGCTCAGTGTTTAAGTTTTTACGACGTATCACAACTGGTTGTCGGTGTTAGCAATGGCGCTAGAGTCGTATCAATTGCCAATAGCACCTTCAATTTAGGTTTTGATTTCATCACTATGCAGAATGATGTGGCCGTCTTGATATTGGCAGAAGCAGTGAGTGTTGGCACCATCCCTTTAGCCACGGAAGAACCAACGAACGGTGTTAGTGGCGTGGTGACCACTTGGGACTCAAGCAACAACTTGGTGGATATAGCGGTGAGTATCATTGGCACTCAGGAATGTGGTTCAGGCCAATACAGCTACAGCGAAGATGATATATTAGCCACAATGCTGTGCGGACTTGCGACTAATACGAATGATTGTGGCGCTTTACCCGGTAGTCCTTTGGTTTCAAACAATGAATTAGTTGGTTTGGTTTCCTGGGGTTATGGTTGTGGTAACAATGGTAGACCTGCTGTCTTTACTGATATTGCATCCGAAGAATCATGGATCATCCAAACGGCTAGTTCACTTTAAATTTCTATAAAATAATATAAATTTAAAAAATGAATTGAAGTTTTGATTGAAGCAAATTAGTGTATTTTAGTCCTGCTGCTCATTTTAGAACGTATATGCTCTGTCTGTCAACGTTTAGAAACTCAGATTCTGTTCAGTATGACAATATGACACTTTTTTGTTTTAATCACTACGGGTCCATATCATTAGATACTATACAAATTTAGGGAACAGACCTGATTTTATTGGAATATGGTCTAAAATTCAAATAGCTGGATTAAATCCGTTAAATGTCGATAGTATTGTATAGCTTTAAAATTATTGGGGAAAATCGAACGAATTTCGTCTTAATCCAAGTTGAAAACCAGTGTGAGAAACAATGTAGTGAACAGTTTTAGAAGCTCTGATGCATTCAAATGAATCACACATAATTTCTATTTAAAACAAAAAAACATGTTAACTTCGGTTGCAACGAAGCTGAAATACCCTTCATAAATACAAAAGGCTCCTTACAAGAACTTGATTTTGATTACTCAGTTTATATAGCAGGTATATATGTGCTATAGTGGTACGGTATCGGAGGTTCCTATCTCAAAAACTGTTTTGTATCTTAATTTTTGCCATGGCTATATCCTTTTAAAATTTAAACTTAACGGCATTTTATGATCCTTAGGGTACCAAGAAAAACACAATATATTTACTGACATTCGATGTACAATTGATTGTTCTAAAAGATAGAGTATGCATCATCACTAAAAACTAGGCACCAGATGCACGGCTACATTGTTGAGTGCAGGTGATCTATCGTCTATTATGTAGTAGCTAAAGTTGTGTGATAAAGTTGTCAGATACAACAATCCGAAATATGTTTAAAAGGCAATGTGGGATAGTATGCGTATATAAAAAAATCAGCCGATCGGTTTCATCAAATTTGAGTTATAGAAATCATTGCCAACTTGAGATCAACATTATCTGCATAATTTTTTTTGATTTTTAAAGATATTTATTACAGTTATCATTAATATAGAATTAGCACTCGCAGCTTCTGTTGTTGTGTAGTCGCAGCTGTATTACATATTTTATTTAAATTTTGCAATTAATAACAAGTTTCATTGGTAAACATTAACAATTTTCCATTTACTTACACTGAACATGAATATATACAGATGTGTAAATAATTACTCAAACCTTAATTTGTAAATCTATTTAACCTGAATTAGCTAAATAATTAATACAAAATGAAATAATATAAATTCACGTGTTGTTAATTTTTCCATACTGTCTGTCCGTAATAGCGATATAATGAATAAAAATTGTGTTTTTCTTGGTACCCTAAGGATCATAAAATGCCGTTAAGTTTAAATTTTAAAAGGATATAGCCATGGCAAAAATTAAGATACAAAACAGTTTTTGAGATAGGAACCTCCGATACCGTACCACTATAGCACATATATACCTGCTATATAAACTGAGTAATCAAAATCAAGTTCTTGTAAGGAGCCTTTTGTATTTATGAAGGGTATTTCAGCTTCGTTGCAACCGAAGTTAACATGTTTTTTTGTTTTAAATAGAAATTATGTGTGATTCATTTGAATGCATCAGAGCTTCTAAAACTGTTCACTACATTGTTTCTCACACTGGTTTTCAACTTGGATTAAGACGAAATTCGTTCGATTTTCCCCAATAATTTTAAAGCTATACAATACTATCGACATTTAACGGATTTAATCCAGCTATTTGAATTTTAGACCATATTCCAATAAAATCAGGTCTGTTCCCTAAATTTGTATAGTATCTAATGATATGGACCCGTAGTGATTAAAACA